TWAAAAAAAAAAAAATAGAAAAATAACAAAGTATCTGAACTAACGAATATCGTCTACGCGCATSATGGTTGACTAACTGCTAACAAACAAATATTTTATAAGTACAAAATACTATACATATAGTTATAACGAAAAAAAATGTGTACGCATAAATTATATACAAAATACGTTATAATAGTCAACACGCGTCGCTGTCGCAATGTTATAAGATCTTATTACAAATCGAATACCTATATAGGTATTACTCATAATAATTATATTATCTTTTCGTTCGATTTCCTTGATTGTCGTTACCATGAATGAGATGTTCATTAAGTATATTATTGTTGTTACGCTACATACTAACACAAATTGAACATCAGCCATCGGAGGTTAAAATATAATATCATTATGCTATAACCATCATCGACTGTGTACAGAATAATTACAGTTTTAGATTCTGTGCGGAGCAATGAATGTATTGATTTGTGTGTGTGTGTGTGTACACGATAAGTTGTCGAAAAAGTGTTTCGATTTTCAACTTCAGTATAGCTTTTCCGGTTGGAAAGTGAATCTAGTTGCTGCATTGGTGGGGAGGTAAAATTTTTAAATTCCAAGTAGTTTTCAAAAGCACCGGGAAAAACAAAATTAAGAAAAAACGGACATTTTCACGCAAAATACATTTTTGAGAAAATCGATTTTAGGTATTGGTGTTATAACACTTATAACTATAAAAGAAATTACCGTAGACACATGCAATTTTCGCTGAATATTTATACTGGCATTTTCTATATTTAATAAAATTTTAAAAATATTTCAAATCTTTTTAAGTTATCCATAGATATTTGAAATTTACAATTTTTTTTGTTTTTTTCAAATTACAATAAAATTTTATTCGTTGGGTAAAAAGGATTCAAATTTTAATTTGAGGCTCCTAATATATTGTTACAATATTAATTTAAAAATATTAAAAATACATAGTTACAATTCTTTCAATAAGCATTGAAAGTTCGAATTTTGACAAAATACGTAAAAATCATGAAAATTTGCAATTTATTTTGAGTTAAAAATTCATAAAARTTTATCTTTTTAAATCTAAAATTTGAAAATTCAATACATGATTCTTCATGAGTTTGCTATAAAAAATGTGTACCGGAAAATCAAATTAAATTTTTATGAGCGTTTGAATTAGGTACAACATTGGATATTCACTCAATATCACAGCTTGTACCGATATTCTTATTTCGTTATTATTCTAAAACGAATGACTGCAGAAGCTTTAAATTTACACCATATGTTTTATTTTATCAATTTATATACATGGTAAAATTATCAATATATTTCAGCAATTTTGAAGTTATTTATAGATATTTGAAGTTTTCCGGTTTTTTTTTTARTTTATAAATGTCGATAAAATTTTATTCATTGGGTCATAAAATTTGAAAATTTAATACAAGGTTCCCCATAAATTTATATAATTGCAGTTGGAAAGCATTAAAAATACACGGGCATGATTTTTTTTTATATGTATAGTTATTTTAAGTTCAAATTCGGAAGCAATTACATATTAAATAGTCAAAAATGACAATTTTAGTTATATTGTCGTAATTAAAAAATATTATTCGTTGGTACTTAAATATCTAGTTGTACTTTATATTCTAATATTATTAATACTTATTATCAATACTTTATTATAATTATACTACATTGTATATGCCTACTAGCCTACTATAAATTATTGAGTGAATCGGATACATAATAAATCTTATTTGATTAATTTGGAATTTATTTTATAGGTAGGTACCTAATTTTTTGTTGTTGAAATAATAGCAATATAATCAATATATATAGTAAAAAAATATAAAATATCTTAGACTGACAAATAACCGTCTCTGCTCAGAATCGTTTTTCGTATACAATGATATAATATCATTGAATTAAAATGTAATATACCATCCATTACAGTAATCYAATTGTATATAACCAACTGTACAGCAGAGCGACATACACTTGCTTACCCCGCTTTTTTAAATGCGTTATTAGGTATAAAACATTAGTAATGAAATCGGATATTCGCTGCGGCAGTCGAGAATTACGATTTTTTTTTAATTCTTCTTAATAATAAGCGGTAAAAAAACGACACGCGCGTAATCGATACATTTAAATCGACAGCGTTGATAAAATTATCTATTACTATTATGCGATAGCTGAGTAAACGACAATTGGTSGAACGCCGCGGCCGACGATTAAAATATTTTAAATATTACCTAATAATAATTATTATAATATCGCTAAACGCACGTCACGAAATGGAACGCAAACGAAAAATCGTTTTAACAAAAAAAATGTGCTGTTGCAACACGCTTTTCAGTAGTAGAATAAAAATGCTGAAAAACCAGTGGTTATGTCAGAACCTAACTAACTACCGGCTACCAGTACCTAGGTACCTATATATTATTAATCAATTAATTCAAAATTGATGAGCTAAAACACTCGAAAATAATATTACATATTTTGTGAGTTTTGTCGAATACAYGCCATGATATTGCTGCAACTATATAATATTAAGTACCTATTTACATATTATAATATATAATTAATTATGATCAAGGCATCAGTTAGGCGCCACGTAAGAGTGATTCTGATTGGCTGTTTAATATATTATTGTTATAACCATAATATTTTGATCATCTATATACATTGTAATAATAATAATACAATCATGTTCACGTACACACAAAAACACACAWTCATATAAACACCACATTAACWCTCATAATAATATTATACTACCTATTGACTAAATCGTATCACATATTCACATACCTAATATTACGCCACGTCGAATATGAGACAAACGTTATTTTTGTCGTTTCGGTATTTATCACCTAATAGTGTTGTTAATTAAACTGCTTCGGTTTTCCACTCATTCTCATTTCTCATCAACAATCTGCACATAATTGTCATATATTATTTGTTTTATATTTTTATTCTCACGATGGACCTATTTCACATTAAGTATCATATACAATATAATATTATATGATATTTTTTCTGCGGACGAGTGGAAATATTGACACAAAAATAATAAAAAAAAAAGCACAATAGTCGTAATATAATATTATACGCGACAGTCCGAAAGTATATACGTTTTTAGCTTTTAAAATTTACTTCGTATTTCGTGCAGCTACATTTAGTCATTTCTAAAGCGCATATACATTTATCTTATTACGATGATTTACAGGTCTGATACTCGGAGTGTTTTGGAACCGCCTGCTTCTGTAGAGAAACCCTTGGTAGACAAAAACGTGAAACCCCAGAAACACCCCACGAGTAACACACTGTTAGTTGACAACAGTCTGCTGCAGGCTGAGCACGCGACTGTCAAAACCAAGTCCAATAGTATTATAATACCCAATTCTAAAGAGCTCGGTAGGCAAAACGGCATTAAGACGATTAAATACAACACGGTCGCGTACGCCCCAAAGAAAGAAGTAAGCCAAACGACAATAATAATAATAATAATAAACAACAACAACAACAACCATGACAATGACGACATAATTCAACCACACTGTAGCCGCGGTGTAATAATATCAACGACATATACAGTAATAATAATATATATAAATGTACATACCTGAGACTAATGATGTGACCAATCAGAATCGCCAAATTGCAGCGTTTGCAGGTGCTGTTAGGACGTACAAAATTTTGCCATATGGGTACACGCAAAAGTATGATGTATTTTTGTTTTGCATGTAAACATATAATAATATAAATTATATTATATTGGAATACGGTGCTGTTATACACATGTATATATACATACCGATCGCTATATAATATTATACAGCGCAGCACGTTGTGTCGGGAAGAATATTTTCGACGATTTTATTCCACGGCAATACCTACTGCAGATGCGTTTTTCAAACACATAATCAGACATTTGGTGTCACGTGCACACGTCTATTATAGGTGCATACAATATTGAGCGTAGGGTTTCCGGCGCAATCGACGTAAATAGGGCAATAGGGCTTATAGTTTACTCTATAGCTATAATAATATACGAACCGTTTCAAGCCCTAATGTCGGCGGTCAGGCATAAAAAATTGATCGATTCAATGGACCAACATGGGTGACCATAGATTTGATCACTTTGTTGTTGAACTAATTGTTAATTGGCTATTTATGCGAATTCCGGCACGAGTGCAGTAGACTCGAACGTTTTCAATGTGTTCATAATATAGGTRTATATTACAAAACATAGTGTACTTATAGTCGTATTTTTATCAACCGGTGATAAACAATATCAGTGTGCAGCAGTCGCTGCGACGATATAAAATCGCGTGCATCCATCACTATATACACAGGATAAGGGATGCCATTGAGGACGAGTGAGGTGCATATCCGGAATTTTCCACTTCATATTATCTAAAAATCGTACATAAGAAAATACTTCTGTATAGAGGTCGTCTGCGAGGGAGGACTTGACGGTGGGTGATCGTGTATAAAGACTTTAAAAAAATCCTTAAGACACGCCATCATTAGTTGCATAATATAATATATAATATTATACGCATCATGTTCTGCAGTGCAGATATTTCGCTAAACTGTACACAAAACGGCAATAATATGTATGAAATCAATTACGCGTGCACGGAAAATGTCTAAATGTCACAATTATATATATTATTATTCGTCCATTACCCACATGGCCACATCATATATTATGACAACCTACCTACCTAAATAATCGCTTTTTCCGTCGTCTTTTCATTCTAATAATAATATTTATATAATTTTTTTTTTTTTATTCTTTTCCAGGCGGTGATCGTCCAGGACCCGGTGCCAGGACGAGTGAAAACTGTAACACCATATTTTGACAAAATGCCATCGGTCATCGTTACTAAAACCACGCAACACTGAAACTCGGGAATAACATCGCGCTTGCACGTCTTCTATTTTGAATTACATCGTCAAAACTCATCGAAATCTCTAACACTGTTTAGTTCTTTGATCATATATATATATTATATATATACTTTCATTATGCGTACACAATATGTCATGTGTAATGTTTCATGTACAGTTTTATTTTTTTCTTTGTAACAATGCACCGCGCAAAACCGAAGAATTAAAAACAAAATATTGACTAAAGTCCTAYTGTGTTAATTTTAATTTATTTTTATAAGTATAATAAGTCGTTAGTTCCTGTGTTAAGTTTGCACGATTTTAGTTCACGATAAACGATTGTCGGTGAATATAATATATAAATAACGATTTTTAAAAAATTATTATAAAAACGAGTCTGTGATTTTACGGAAATTTATATAATAGCTCCATTATATGGAACATAAAATATAATATATATTTAAAAAAAAAAATACAAACAATTATTTGTGTATTTTTTTTTTTTTTTTTTTGTTTGTACACGTACTGACTACTGATAATACTTATTAACCGTAATTTAATAAAACAAGGTATGTTAATATGTTATTTATCATATTGTTTATTTCTTCTCACATATTATACGATTTAAATCACTGAGTGAACAATTCTTATTGACGCAGCACTCTCGGAACATCTGCATTACTCCCTGTTTTTTATTCACTGCCATTTTGGCGCCAATACCTGAGAATATAAATGAAAATATTTTACAAACGTAAATTAATTTAATGATCATTATAGTTGGCCAGGTTAAAATGGCTTATCTTATGGAGTAGAGTGGATAATGGCCAATGGGATGTGCAAGCATTTAAATTCAATAATACAAAATCTTCGTATACAAAGAAAAATGCTCAGCGAAGACAGACTGTCAGCTTATATTATGATATTATAGCAATTAAATTTATTTATTTTACTATTAGCTAGGAATCCAAGTGGTTGAATACTTGAATTGCATTTTACCGGAAACATGGTATTTGAAAATGGCATTGTGTGTATAAAATAAAATTAAACACTTATTGTATATGTTAGTATAATTAAAATCTGGTATTAATATTTACTATAGAAAAAAATAAAATAAATTTCATATTCCAAATATCTATAAAAAAAACCTTAAAGAAAGTCAACGTGTTTTAAAAATTATACCATGTGTATAAAATGCTATTCTAAATATTAGGTGAAAATATTAAGTAGGTAATTTTTTTTTTCATTAAAATATAATTAGAAAATTGTTGTGTTGTATTGTATTTACTGATATTCATAAAATCGACAGATTTTAGATTCTGAGTGGAGCGATGAATATATCGATTTTACAATCATGTGTGAATTTATTTTATTCGTGTCTGGGTACACGTTGATGGTTGATGATCGATAAATAGACGGAATATTGCTTCAATTTTCAAACTTCAGTGTTTTTCCGATAGGAAAGTGAATCTATAGTTCGTATATTCGGGAAGTAAACATTTGAAATTCTCAGTAGTTTTCAAAAGTGGCAGGAAAAATATAAAAACAAAATGAAAGTTTTACGAAAAATCGATTTTGGCTTTGGGTGTAATTCTAAAAAAAAAAAATTATTGTAGATACATAAAATTTTCACTTAATGTTTGTTTTAACATTTTCTATTCTCCATAACATTCTCAAAATATTTTGACTC